TACTATGCACCTCTCCCTTCCTAGGAGGTGGTGCCCTGGAAAACTCCAAACATTGAGGTCTACGTGTGGGTTGACTCTCAACCTTAGGAGGGACTGCACTAGGTATGCTGTCCTACAGGCTAGTGACTTTGGTTAACAACTTCTGAAAGGTTCGAATGCTAAAACCCTTCAGGTATGGAGCGATATGACCATTAATATTCTTCAACAGAATCTCAACTGCATGCTGCTCTTGCAATTGAGGTTCACACTGAAGACTAAGGTTTCTCCACCTAACTATATAGTTAAGTACAGAATCGTGGGGGCGCTGTCTGGTCACTACCAACTCACCAACAGTCACTCTATACTCTGTACTGATGAACCTCTGCACAAACAACTGCTCCATCTCAGCAAAGGTACGAACTGAATCATTAGGGAGATCGACATACCACTCAAATGCCACTCCCCCTAAGCTACTAACAAACAATCTAAGCATCAACGCGTCATTTCCTCCAATGTTACAACATATGGCCCGATATTGAGCCACATGTTGTTTTGGGTTTCCAAACCCATCAAAAACTCGAAAACGGGGAGGAACAAAACCAGCGGGGTAAGGCTCCCGCTCGTACTCTACCGGGTAGGGGCGACCTCTACTAACAGAATCTCCAGACTTTCTAGAAGCAATAGCCTGGTCAACCCTCTGTGCAATCATGTTCTGAATCTGGACTGGTGACAACTGTACTGACTGACTCTGAACTGGCACACTCAAAGGTACTGCTGGGGGAGACATCGGAACTGCCCTCTGAACTCTATCAACTCTAACAAGCTCCGGGACTGGCGACTGTGGTGCTGCTGGCTTGTCTCTGGATGTAGTAGGAGTACCTACATCCATGACATGGGGTGTAGCCCCCAACACCGTCAACTGGGCGGTCATCGCCGCCATGGCTCTTGCCATCTCCGCCATCTGAGACTGTAACTGCAAAACCGTGACATCCGTGTCTACTGAACGGGGAGGTCCACACTGTGCTGAGGTGGAAGGAACATCGTCCTCCCCTTGCTCCTCTAAATCATCATACTGATCATGCTGCTCATCTGACATGCCTCATCTCGTGACAACACAGACATGATGAACGGGGATGTCTTCATCTGACTCTCCTTCGAGTAAGTCCTCATCGGAGGTCTGATGAAGAGCATCGATGTACGGACCCAAAGGAGAAGAAATCCTAAGGGGATTAGGAGCAACAGCTGGCTCCACTCGAGCCCGAGTACTATCCTCAACATCAACTGCATCACAACTCATCTGAACCGGCACTGATCCTGAAGGGGCTATGTCAACTCTACGAATAACACCAACAGTCTGCTCTGTCTTGACAGGCTCCTCCACCTGTCGACGTCTCCAAACCCATCTACTATGATGGGACTTGGTAGGAACATCCAACTGAGTGGAGGGGACAACGACAACTGACTCAAGCT